CACCTCGGAGAGAAATATCCTCTGATGTTCCTCAAGCGGGGCCAGGCACGGGGCGACCGCAGCGGTACCCCGGGACCCGCAGCGGACGCGGCGCCCTGCTCGTCCGGGGGTTTGCAGCCTCGCGTGGGTCTGGCGCCGTCCTGCCTCCCTCGCCGGGGAGCTCCATGTTCCCCGGCCAGCGCCGGGTCGTGTTGTTGCTTTTGCACCTGGGGTTGTGTTTTATGAAAGGAAAATTGAATTTCTTGAAAAGAGAGCGCTGGCAAGGAGTTACCGAGGTGAAAATCATCTACGCAGCACCCAACGCGTTGCATCTCTCCTCCTGTCCTCCACTCACAGTCCCTTCCCACCCTTGGCGTTTGAGCTAATATTGACCAGTTCTGGAGCAGTGTATGGCTTCTTGTGTTGCCCCGGCTTCGTATTTAATAGGCCTAAATGTCCCCAGGTCACCTGAAATAACAGTAAATAGCTGCCAATCTAAACTTGGGTTTCGTTCACTGAGGGCATTCGGCCAGAATATTTCCTAGTTTCGTGCTGGGGAGCAGGTATCGGTCAGACTTTCTTGGGAAGAACGAGTAACTGCTCGTGGCACTGGGACAATATCATGGCTTTATGTGCTTAAGGAAAAGAGGGGAACTGTCTCTCCGAGCTGAATATGAAAAGAGAGATTAATCCCCTCTTAAACCACAAAGGAGCTTGAAGGCAGTTTTCGGTTTGCTCGGGGGAATAAACAGCCCCAAACATCCGGTAGGTAAAGCATGTTTCCAGCTGTCATCAGGGAGAAAAGCTTGGAAACACAAACTGCAGAAAATATTATTTATTAAAAAAAAAAAAAGGAAAAAAGGGGGAAGGAAAGGAAGGAAACCCAAGTGCGTTTAAGCCCCAGCTCTCATCGCTCCCGGGGCCGGGCTCCCATCGCAGGTCTCAGCAGGTGCAGGAGGTAGAAGTTTGCATCTGCACCCGAGCGCAAGGTGGGCAGATCGTGGAGGGGAACTGGACGCCAGCTTCTCTTTCACTTTGTTTCTGCAAGATTTTTCCTTCTTTTTCTTTTTTTTTGGTTGAGCTGACAGCCCCTGTGCTCCTGGAAGCCCAGCAAGATATCTACGTTGTTTGTCTGAGATGAATGTTAAACGGATCCCACCAGCATTCCTGAAGCTCATTTCTCCGTATTCATCAGAGGAGGAAAGTAATTACCAGTGTGACAATTTTGTAAGTCAATCTTGGCTTGGGAGAGATGAAGAAAAATGATAATAACCAAATTTCAAATGTAGATCTAGTTGCATTAAACACTCATGAGCGGCAATAAAAATGAAGGTTGTAATTGTATCTGCAGTTTCAAACCTCACAACGTAATTTTATATGCTCAAACATCTGTTTTAGGATCATAGCTGAGTGTCAGATAATTGGCTTTTTTTTCTTTTTCTTTTTTTTTTTTTAAACAGATCAGTTAGGCACCATCAGGTTTATTATAAATTCAAACTAATTTATTAGTAAACAACACTTGTGTTGAACAGCGCTGCAGTGCGATAGCGCTGGGGAGATGCTGGGAGCAGCAAGCTTGGGCTTTGCCGTTGAGGATGACGCCGATGCGTGCCAGAATTAACTGCCCTTGGAGGAAGGGCTCAGCTCATCAGATGCTGATGATGCTCCCAGGAAGAGGCTGTTTTTTTACCCTGGGTCTCCCTGAATCACAGCTAACTAGTGTCTGGGCAGCATGGTAACGCAAAACAGGGGAAAGCGTTTCTGAGGGGTGATGGAGACCCCTGGGACCTCCTTGCTCGGCATTGTGATTGCTCCCTGTCCCCATCTCTGTCTCTTCTCTTTTTGCAAACGTGCAGGAACAACGCCATAGATGCATCACCAACCTCATCTCGGGGGTTAGCAGCCTATGGACGTTGACTGGTTCAACAAAAAGCTCTAACACAGTTGGCAAATGTGACAGCAGAGATGAAGTTAGTTACGAACTTCAGTTTGGGTATAAATGTATCTAAGCTCTCAGAGCCCGACTACAGGTATATGGGTGAGAAACCTTTGCCTGCTTTCCTGTGCTTTCACCCATATTATCTTCTGCAGAAATAGTGACAAAAATAGGGAGGAACTAGGAGGTGCGCAGGATTTGTAGCGTTTTCCCGTCCTAGTGCTCGTGTCAGTGCAGCCTGCCTGCCCCCCGTGGTGGTCGGCGCCGTGCGCCCACCAGGCGTCCGTGCCCAGCTCAGCGAGAGGGGCTGTTCGCATGCCGTGACTCCACGCGTCTCCCCTCGCTCGTGGCTCTCACCGAGCAGCCGCGGTGCTCGAAGACACCTCTGCCATTCGCCTTTGCCATCTGCGGAGGAAAGTAATTAAATTTAATAGAAGTCCCCCTCGACTTTACAGTGGTGATAATTAAATGTAATTGAAGATGTGAATTCTAAACAAGGCCATATGTTTTTCCCAACAATACGTTTGACATCACAAAGAACAAACAAATAACCAAGGACATGCAAAAACAGTGTGTGGCTTGAGGCCATTATTTTACCTTATCTCCGTTGTTTTTGTTCAGTCTTTTCGTTGCTGTGAAAGTGCTCTTGTGTCTTCGCTTAATTGAAAGATACCACCGGCCAGCGAAGGTCGCGAGAGGAAGGGGGAAGAGCCACCAGTTTTAACACACGTTGTGTAGGTGGAGTTGTGCCTCATCCATTATGCAATGATTTAAAAAAAAAAAAAAATTGCAGCAATGGAAGCTAAGAAAGTTCTTGAATTTATGCTGCTCTTTTTTTTCTGAAACCGAATACCAGGCTGCCATTCTCTCTGCGAAGGGGTTTGAGGAGGAAGGTGACTAGTCTGGTGCTGCAGCGCGACGTTGCTGTAGAAGCGTTGCTGCTTTGGAAAGCCCTTAATGACGGAAGCTCATATTAAGAAAACCCTCCAGAGCAGGGAGCCAGAGGATGTCTTTGAGTTTTGTTGGGGAGACGCCTGCGAGCGGGACGTGGTGGTAGCAGCAGCTCCCGGAGAGGGCCCCAACCAGCCAGACCCTCATCTCTTGCTCCGGCCTTCCCTGTCGTCTCCGTTTTGTAGACGCTCAGATACCAGGTGGGTGAGTTTGTTCTCCCACCTCTGATGGCAAGAAGTGCCGCGTACGGCAAACATCAATAGCATGTCAGGTTTGTCAGTGGGCAGATGATGTGTGGCCAGCTTGAGCTCTTCAGATCAATAACTCAGTGACGGGCAGCCAGAGCACGTGGAAAACAGCATTAAGCCTAACACAATTGTTCTGTTTATTGTGAGGAATGGAAGAAGCCCGGAGTCTGAATTGCGGAAGTCCATCACGGTGTCAGGGCTGTGCGTTTGAATATTAAATGCTATGGATGAGCGATGCCATGTACTCCCTGTTGTAGATGAGCAAGAGCTTGTTTGCGCAGGGTGTTGATGAATGAAGAAAGGCAGCGCGGCGCCTGTGGACCCATTGCTGCTGCCGCAGGGACACGGAGATGGCACCAACTTCACCACAACACTATTCCCCGTCACTGTTCCCACCACGGTCCCTACGCAAACGGGTGATCTCGGCACTTTC